AAGGACACATGGATAAAACCAAATGGAGGTGGAAGCAGGGGAGTGAGGTGGGGATGACTGGGGTGGGGGAGAGTGGGGGGGTAGATGCAGACAACTGTACTTGAACAACAATAACATAATTTAAAAAATAAATGATACATTTCACAGGCCATTTTCCTCAAGATCTCTGGGTCCTATTCAAGATGGCATCTGAGGTGTAACTTTGCTGCTTTTTGAAACATAAGTCAAGAGTTGTGGGTAACATGGCAGTTGTCTTGAATACTAACAAATTGATTTTAAACAGTTGCTTCCAGTTTTAGTTACCTTGAAGGAGTTAGTATAATATCTCAATTTCATAAAAGAGATTGAATTTTCTCCTTGGGGTCATTAGAGATGTGTTGTATAAATGAGCTTGGGGTGAGTAAGTTGTAAGGTCAGTCATTTCTCCTGCCTCCTTAATTAGGACTGCACTTGGAGCATTGTCAAGAGTTTTTTATAATAATGGCTCTCCTTCTTTTTAATAAATCTATCACAAAAGATATGCTTAATACTATAAAGGGAAACAGGAAGATGAAGACAGTCCTTTCCTCATACAACTTCCCAGTGAGGAGCCAAGACCCATGAACAATAAATAATACAAAAACATTTTTAAAGGCTACTAACAAGACTACTAAAAGCAGTCAAAGAAAGAGATCAGTGAGGACTGGATTGACCAGGCAAGACTTTTTAAGAGGTGTGACTTCAGTTATATTCTTGAAAAATGGTTAAGATCCTAATTGGTAGAAGAGAGGAGAGAGGCTAGTTCAGGCTTGTGGGGAGTAAGAGTTAAGACAGGCATGTAATAGTTGTGAAGCTGAAAGGGACACACAATATTATAGGATAAAGAGAATAGCTAGCCTAGAGGAAAAAATGTGTATGTTGGTATCAGAGACCTGAGGATAGGTAGTAGGTGAAGGAAGTGTCATATTGTTTTACAGAAGGCCTTTAAAAACAAGCTGAAAAGTTATTTCACTTAGAATAACACCCTCTATATCCAACTATCTTTGTCAGTTTTGAGAATAGTCACAGGGATGTAATGTGCAGCATAGGGAATATAGTCAATAATAATGTAGTAACTATGTATGGTGCCAGATGCGTACTAGACTTATTGGAGTGCTCACTTTGTAAGTTATATAAATGTGTAGTTGCTATGTTGCATATCTGCAACTAATATAATATTGTATGTCAACCATAATAGAAACACTTAACAAATAAACAAGCTGAAGTACTGAGATTGGATAATATGGTAAAAAAATGGTAGACACTGTTCAACATAATCTACTAGTACCTTAAGAAAGAAAACCTAGAGTATTGTGCAGCATGTACAATGAAGGAAGAATGGTATAGACAATTTTACAGGATGAAATTGTTGGTTCAGTGTGATGAGAAGTCAGAGATCCTGGGAGGATAGGACAGCCATCAGTTATCTCCCCAATTTTTGAGTCAATCTTCCCTCATCCTGGGGTACAGAGAGGGAAGATACATGTGGTGTGAATTGAGGTTGGAAAGAGAGTCCTAGGAATCTTCCTTTACCTCCCTGACTAGGTCCGCCCCTCTCAGTGACTGGCTTTTATAACATCCTTCGTTTTTAACATGTGGCACAGTTGCAATATTATATTTACAGGTGTTATTGTTTGATAAATATCTGTTTTCCCTACTAAAGTCTGCCAGGGCAGATTCCATGTCTGTTTTGTTCCCCATTATATCTCCAGCACCAGAACAGTGCCAGGTGCTTAATAATTGCTTTACAAATGTTTGCTGAATGAAAGAAGATAGTTATTTATACACATTCATTCATCTTTAAGCCTAGAAAGAGAGAAGGGTGAAACAAACATGTTACCCTATAACAGGAAGTGGGCTGGTTGAAGCTTTGATAGGGAAAGATCTACAGTGTGGTCTTTAAATTCTCTGCCACATGTCCCATCTCCCCATTCACTTCCCTTCACTAGGAGAAGCCCTTGTCACACTCCTACAAATGGCTTCCACTTCGTAGTTAAGAATTTGGCACTCTAGAAACAGGCTGACAGTTTTTTATTGATTGATTGATTATGCCATTACATTTGTTCTATTTCCCCCCCTTCATTCCCCTCCACCCTGCACAACCCCACCTTCACCATTCCTCCCCTTTAGTTTATGACCATGTGTCTCAAGTTCTTTAGATTCTATATTTCCCCTACTATTCTTACCTTCCCCTATCTATTTTCAATTTGTGGTCTATGCTACTTATTTTCTGTACCTTCTCCCCCTTCTCCTTCTCCCACTCCCCTGTTGCTAACCCTCCATGTGATCTTCATTTCTATGTTTCCACTCCTGATATAGCTGTCCTCTTAGTTTGCTTTTGTTTTAGGTGTGGTTGTTAATAACTGTGAGTTTGCTGTTCTTTCACTGTTCATCTTTTTTTATCTTCTTTTTTCTTAGGTAAGTCCCTTTAACATTTCATATAATAAGGGCTTGGTGATGATGAACTCCTTGAATTTGATCTTATCTGAGAAGCACTTTATCTGTCCTTCCATTCTAAATGAAAGCTTTGCTGGATGGAGCAATCTTGGTTGTAGGTCTTTGGATTTCATGACTTGGAATACCTCTTTCCAGACCCTTCTTGCCTGAAAGGTCTCTTCTGAGAAATCCACTGACAGTCTGATGGGAACTCCTTTTTAGGTGATTGTCCCCTTATCTCTTGCTGCTTCTAGGATTCTCTCCTTCATTTTAATCTTGGCTAATGTAATGATGATGTGCCTTGGTATGTTCCTTCTTGGGTCCAACTTCTTTGGGACTCTCTGAGCTTCCTGGATTTCCTGGAAGTCTATTTCCTTTGCCAGATTGGGGAAGTTCTCCTTATTTGTTCAAATAAGTTTTCCACTGGTGGCTGTTCCTCTTCCCCTTCTGGTACCCCTATAATTCAGATATTGAGTGTTTAAAGATGTCCTGGAGGTTCCTAAGCTTCTCCTCATTTTTTTGAATTCTTGTTTCTTCATATTTTTCTGTTTGGTCATTTTTTTTTCTTCCTTCTGGTCCACTCCCTTGATTTCAGTCCCAGTTTCCTTTCCATCACTATTGCTTTCCTGTGCATTTCCCTTCATTTCAATTAGTTTAGCCTTCATATGTTCCTCTAATTTGTGGCTAAAATCAACCAGTTCTGTGAGCATCCTGATCACCAGTGTTTTGAACTGTGCCTCTGATAGGTTGGCAATTTCTTCACCACTTAGATTTATGGGCTCTGGGGCTCTGAGTTCTTCTTGAGCCACGTTTTGATCTGTTTGAGCCTGTTACATTTGAGGAGAGGTGCCTTAGGTGTTCACCAGGGCAGGGCCACCCAGGTCACTGGTTTGTGACACTGTATGTGGGGGGGGTTAGAGAGGGAGCAATAGTTCTTTTCCCCTCCCTCCTGTCCGGTCCACCTCACAGCTCGCGCCCCCCCCCGTCCTGTTTATCTGTGTGCAAATGTGCGACCTCAGTCAGCCTGCCACCTTGCGCTGGGGCCTGTGCGGTCTGTCTCAATGCTCACTTCTTCACTGGTTTATCTGTGTGCAAATGTGTGACCGCAGTCAGCCTGCCACCTTGCACTGGGGCCTGTGCAGTCTATGTCAATGCTTGTGCTTTCACTGGGTCTGCCAGTAGCTACTGTACACCTGGGATCCGCGCCTTGGCTGCCTGTGTGCCTGGGCCAGGCTGAAAAGTTTTAAGTTGTGATTCTGCCACTTACTATCATGTATCCTTCGGCAAATCACTTAATTTTTCTGCCTCAGTTTCTTCATCTATAAAGCATAGATAATAATTCTTCATAATTTCTAGTGAGGATCAAACGAGCTATTATACATGTAAGTGCTTCAGCCACTGCCTGACACAGAGTTAAGTGTTGCATATGTACACCATCCACCAAATGCAAGCTTGGCTCTCAATACAGCCAATAGTGTACCCCAAATATCTTTCCCTTATCTAGCTAGAGTTCAAGTATATGGCCTTTCCCTTTGTTTTGGCAAGACAGGTGGGAGACAGGAAGCAGAAATGACCAATGATAGAGAGAAAACTGGGTGTGGGTTTGGATTTGATGCCTGCCTTCCCAGAATGTGGCAGCCATACATTCTGGCTGCCACAGAAAGAGATGTTTTCTTTTGATAAAGTTTCCCTTAAAGTTCTAGTGCCTGCTTTTGCTACATTTCTAGTCTAGATGAGGTTTGCTGAAGTGCCAGCAATGACACATACCCTGCCAACGCTCTCCTGACTGTTCTAGCCTCAGAGGCATGTCTAAACAACTGAGGCTGAGATTCAATCTGTGTCTAATACTGCTATCTGAAGCATGAAGAAAGCTGTACATTAGTTTGGTGACAGCATAGAAAGCTGTTACCAATAGGGCCCTTTATGTTAAGGTTTGCAATTTCAGCACTCAAAAAGTTAGTTCTTTTGCAGTATTTTGCCTGCAGTTGCAGTGACCAGTACAGGAGAGAAGTATATCCGGAAACACTGCTGTCTGAGTAATATGCATATTACTCAGATATGTAGCAATATGCAAATGTAGCAATATGCATATTTTACAAAATATGCCTTTGTAAAAACATCATTTCAACAGAAAAAAATAATTAGCTGCTTCAAAAATTAAAACATCAGGGAGACTCAATCACATTATATACAACTGAAAGATGCAAAGAAATGAAAAGCAGGGAAGACAGCATCAATTTTATGAAAGTGTAGAATTTAGTATTTATAGGGAAAGATGAAAGAAAATGGTTTATTTAGGCTGGAGAAGAGATTGCAAAGAAAGTACTTAACTGTCAGTTACGTGAAGGGAAAGTATATGATCAGTAATAACTAGCTTTTATCTGCTACTTCTGAAGACATGAAAAAAGAAATTTAAATTGTGACAAAAGACTGTTGAGAAGATGATTAGTTCCAGGATCTGTTATCACAAGAAGGACTAGAAGTCGGCCCCCTTCACGGGTCCGAGTAGTTTGAGCAGAGGGAGAAGCAGTATGGGCTAGGCACTCCAGGTTTGCAAAGGTTCCCCGCGCGTCTGGGCTCTCAGGCACCCAGCAGGCACCCGCCCCACCGCCATGATGCCTAAGAGGAAGGTCAGCTCCGCCGAGGGGGCGGCGAAGGAGGAGCCCAAGAGAAGGTCAGCGAGGTTGTCAGCTAAGTCTGCTCCTGCAAAAGTGGAAACCAAGCCAAAAAAAGCGACAGGAAAGGACAAACCTGCAGACAAAAAGGTGCAAACGAAAGGGAAGAGAGGAGCAAAGGGAAAACAGGCCGACCTGATTAACCAGGAACCTAAGGAAGATCTACCTGCGGAGAACGGAGAAACTAAAAACGAGGAGAGTCCAGCCTCGGATGAGGTAGGAGAAAAAGAAGCCAAGTCTGATTAATATCATATATCATGTCTGATCAGTGGTCCCTGTCTCCCTTCTTGTACAATCCAGAGGAATATTTTTATTAACTATTTTGTAAATGCAAGTTTTTTAGTAGCTCTAGAAACATTTTTAAGAAGGAGGGAATTCCACCTCATCCCATTTTTTTTAAGTGTAAATGATTTTTTGAAGAGGTGAAATCATTTGCTGGTTGTTTATTTTTTGGTACAACCAGAAAATAGTGGGATATTGAATATGGGAGGCTCTGATTGTCTTGGGTGCCGGCTAAACATTCCATAGATTGGGAGTCATTTTTATATTCTATAATACAAATGGCAGTTTGGAGTCAGTTGTGCATTTACTATGTCTCGAACATTTTAAATAACTTCTATTCCCATGTTTTTGGTAGAAGTGTTTCCTAAATAAAACCACTCCTTGATCTTGGCTCCCCCCATCAGAACTTTGTGCACTCTGTAACATCTTGTGGTAGTCCAGTGTTCCTAGTAACCTCGTTAATGAGCTGTGAAAGATTGAAAATTCGATTATGTAGTATATATATTAAATTGTGAATTAGTTGGGCTTTGATGTAACAGCGTATCAACATTTACAGATATTGGTACTTGATACCCTATTAAGGAAATTAGTACCCAAATTTTAAGCTGGAAAGTCACTGGAGTAATTTCAGAGAAGAATCATAACTACATGACTTTACATTTTTTTGGTACGTATGTTAATTATGTACAAATTGAAATGTCTGTGTACTTCAGAACAACCAATAAAATCTCAAGAAAAATGGCTTAAAAAAAAAGAAGGACTAGAAGTCAAGTTCTGTATATAGAAAGTAAGTAAATAAAAAAGTAAGACTATCAGAGATAGAGAAAATGCAATTCTACTTAACCCCAAGGATAAATTTGATAAATATATAATAAATCTAATACATACATACTCTATTTCATAGAATAATCTTCACTTATTAAGCAATAACCATGTACTTGACCTTCTCCTAGCACTCTATATCATCTCAGTTAATTTTTACAACTTTTCCAAGGGTCACAGATATTATAATCTCCATTTCCTCAACTGAGAAAACTGGTTCTGAGTGGTAAAGTAGCTTGCCCAAGATAACATCTCTAGTAGGTGATAGCTTTACTATGATAAATCTTTGTCTATGTGTCTTCAGAGCTATGTCCTTTGTACTACATTGATTCTCAGATGCAATAATATGTCTTATTGCTGTTTCCATTCTTTCATTAATTTTTCTTCAGTTTAGATTTCACATATACTTTCCTCCAAGAAAATATCAGCCTAACAACTGGATTATTACAACTAGCTTATTACTATGTTAGTTAGCAACCACGTACATATTTCCGCTTAGTATGGACTCTCTTCCCTTTGGAATACATTCAAATTAAGTTAAGGCAAGGATAAAAAAAAAGGTGAGGAGCAAAATACCCATATTTCCTGGCTGAAATGTGATAGCTGTACTGAGGTATAGTGCCCACATATTTTAGAAACTTTATAAAATATTAAGGACATTACTGAAGCAGAAATCAAATTAGGCTGCAAGTGAATGCATATTGACTTGCAAAGGCTGGTACAAAGAGGATATTAAATGGGATGAACATGTACTGATACTCAGAAGAAGGTCATTTCTTTCCAAAAGAAATATTAACTATAGTGTCCTTAAGTGAGATGGGGAGAAAAAAATCATGGGTTAGAAATAATACTGGGAAATTTCCTATTGAAAGGGAATCAATGCACAGTCAGTACAATCTGTCCCAGTCAATCAGCAATGCAGACAATACACTCTTATTTAATGGCATCTAATTCAAACCATGACTAACTTTCTGGCAATATTTCCCTGCTGGTGCATGTTTATTCAAAGAGCATCTACTCTGTGCTTAGCACAATGGGAGGAAAAAGAAGATTAACAAGAAATAGTTTGTTACTTAATGAACTTATACATTCGTAGGGATGATAAGACATGGGCACAAATAATAAATGACAAAATATGACAAGGTGTACTTCCACCAAGATGGAGGCATAGGTAGAGATTCCATGCTTTCTCATACAACCAAGTTTAGAGACAAAATCTTAGCAACAGAAAATACAGTCAGAACACAGAAAACTGAACTTTTTGGAAGTTTCATAACACCGAATTCTTCAGCCTGACCGGTAAGAGGGGCGAAGCCAGCAGCTGGCAGAGCAGGGTTGCACAAGAAAACTCTGTCAGACAGACTCAGTCGCGCAGATCCCAGGCATGGGGTTGCAATGGGTGGACCCAGGGAATGACCCAGTGAGTGACCAGGGACCCAGCGAGGGTGCAGGGCGGCGGGTTGACTGTGGTCACGCATTCCTGCACAGATAGACCATGGAGGAAGTAGGCAGTAGAGACGGGACCCAGCAGGCCCCAGCGGCGAGAGGTAGCAGAGACGGCCACCATCTCCCGGCTCTGACCCTGCTCCCGCATACAGCGTCACAATCCAGTGACCTGGGTGGCCCCACCCTGGTGAACACCTAAGGCTCCACTCCTCATACTTAATGGGCCCAAACAGACAAAAAAATGGCTCAGGAAGATCTCAAAGCCCCAGAGCCTCATAACTCTAAGTGATGAAGAAATAGCAAAACGTTCAGATGCACAGTTCAAAACACTGGTGATCAGGATGCTCACAGAACTGGATGATTTTAGTCACAAATTAGAGGAACATATGAAGGCTATACTAATTGCAATGAAGGGAATTGCACAGGAAACCAATAGTGATGAAAAGGAAACTGGAACTCAAATCAAGGGAGTGAACCAGAAGGAAGGAAAAAATGACCAAACAGGAAAATATGAAGAAACAAGAATTCAAAAAAATGAGGAGAGACTTAGGAACCTCCAGGACATCTTTAAACACTCCAACATCTGAATTATAGGGCTACCAGAAGGGGAAAAGGAACAGCCACCAGTGGAAAACTCATTTAAACAAATAATAAAGGAGAATTTCCCCAATATGGCAAAGGAAATAGACTTCCGGGAAATCCAGGAAGCTCTGAGAGTCCCAAAGAAGTTGGACTCAAGAAGGAACATACCAAGGCACATCATCATTACATTAGCCAAAATTAAAATGAAGGAGAGAATTCTAGAAGCAGCAAGAGATAAGGGCACAGTCACCTAAAAAGGAGTTCCCATCAGACTGTCAGTGGATTTCTCAAAAGAGACCTTCCAGGCAAGAAGGGTCTGGAAAGAGGTATTTCAAGTCATGAAATCCAAAGACCTACAACCAAGATTGCTCCATCCAGCAAAGCTTTCATTTAGAATGGAAGGACAGATAAAGTGCTTCTCAGATAAGATCAAATTCAAGGAGTTCATCATCACCAAGCCCTTATTATATGAAATGTTAAAGGGACTTACCTAAGAAAAAGAAGATAAAAAAGATGAACAGTGAAAGAACAGCAAACTCACAGTTATTAACAACCACACCTAAAACAAAAGCAAACTAAGAGGACAGCTATATCAGGAGTGGAAACATAGAAATGAAGATCACATGGAGGGTTAGCAACAGGGGAGTGGGAGAAGGAGAAGGGGGGAGAAGGTACAGAAAATAAGTAGCATAGACCACAAATTGAAAATAGATAGGGGAAGGTAAGAATAGTAGGGGAAATATAGAATCTAAAGAACTTGAGACACATGGTCATAAACTGAAGGGGGGAATGGTGGGGGTGGGGTGTGCAGGGTAGAGCGGAATGAAGGGGGGAATAGACCAATGTAATGGTATAATCAATAAAATAAAAATTAAAAAATATGACAAGGTAATAAATACTACTGGAGAAGCAAGGTGAGGTGCTGAGGGGTCCTAGAGAGAACAAAGTTTTACTCTTAATTTACAGGATTAATAACTTCTAGGCATAAAATAAATGAACCATGGGGACATAGTGTACAGCAGAGGGAATATAGTCAATCATGTTGTAATAACTTTGCACATGACAGGTGGTTACTAGACTTATCATGGTGATCACATTATAAGGAAGATAAATGTTGAATTACTATATTATACACCTGAAACTAATAAAAGATTGTATAATAATTATATTTTAATAAAACAATTAAAAGCTTTATGGATGGGGTAGTATTTAGGCTGGGATTTTAAGGATAAGCAGTTTAGGGGTGGAAAAATTTGGGATGGAGATAGGAAGGCAGAGAAAAGAGAAAGGCCCTCCAACTAGTATTGAGGAATATGTCACCTGAGGACTACTTGTGTTAGAATCTGAGGAGGCTGCATTTGAACTTGGTCTTGAGGAGCGGGCAGGATTTTCATAGGCAGATTTGAAGAGAAAGGGAAAAATACTCCCTTTTCCTAATACTTACTGTACATATGCAGTTTTTACCTTGGTAAACATTTTGTCCCATTTCCCTCCTGGTTTCTCATCGTGAAATAGCCTCCATTCATTCACCCCAAATTTGGTTGTCATATGTTTGGAACTAGATGCTCTAACCAGCCAGAGACTCCACTGATTACCTTTCTATTGGCTTACTCAGGTTTCAGACTTTTAAAAAATTATATTTAATTGATAATGCTATCACAGTTGTCACAATAATTCTCCCTTTGCCCACCTCTGCCCGGTAGCACCCTTTCCTTCAGCAATAACCCCCCTAGTTCATGTCCATAAGTCATGCATATAAGTTCTTTGGTTTATCCATTTCCTATACTATTCTTAATACTCCCCTATTTTGTACCAAAATCATGTTTCTTATTACTGTACCTTTTTTGCCCCTTCTCCCCTTTCCACCTCCCAGCTGATAACCCTCTGTGTGATCTCCATTTCTGTGGTTCTGTTCCTGTTCTAGTTTTTTGCTTAGTTTGTTTTTGTTTTAGGTTCAGTTGGTGATAGTTGTCATTTTACATGAGTTTGTTGTCATTTTACTGTTAATAGTTATAATTTTTTTCTTAGATAAGTCACTTTAACATTTCATCTAATAAGGGCTCAGTGATGATGAACTCCTTTAACTTAACCTTATCTGGGAAGCACTTTATCTGCCCTTCCACTCTAAATGAAAGCTTTGCTGGATAGAGCAATCTTGGTTGTAGGTCTTTGGATTTCATGACTTGGAATACCTTTTCCCAGCCCCTTCTTGCCTGTAAGGTTTCTTTTAAGAAATCAGCTGATAGTCTC